CATTTTCTGAAATCTCCCCTCCAGCCCTGGCAGCTCTCTGCTTCTATGAATTTGACTATTTTAGATTCTACATGTACGTGAGATCATGTAGCGTTGTGGTCATGTCTGGCTTATTTCACTCGGCATAATGCCTTCCAAGTTGATCCATGTTTTCGCAAATGGCAGGCTCTCCTCTTTCTCATACTGGACAGAATCCCACTTGTGAATATATGCGCAAAGCAAGGGACGGGCGAGTCTTGAAGAGGTAGCCACACTCCCAAGTTTGCAGTGGGCAGGATTGAAGACATCTCCATCTCCGGCCCCTGCGGTGGGCTGAAGGAAACATGGCGTGGATAAAAACACTGGATTTCCTGTACGTCAAGTCCAAAGAGATTTCCGAATCCACATCCTAGAGGAAGTCCCCTGAGAGAGTCAATATGGGGCTGGTCAGATGGGGGGCTCTCCAGGTGAGCAGAGCGATGGTGGGGATGGTGGCTGCAGTGAGGGCAGCCAGGTCCCAGGGGCCAGGCAGACAGGGAGGCATTACTAGTCACCCAGAGAGCCCAGAGCCTGGAGACCTACTGGTGCCAAAGCGCAGGCATCGCGAGGCCCTACGGCTTCCCATGCTCCCGACGCCTTCTCAGGACAGCAAAGAAGTGAAGGGGGACACTGAGAGGTAGTACCTTTACCTGAAAGACCGAACGACCCTGGTGAGACTGCGGGCCCAGAGGGGGCCAAGTGTCCTGGTGAGACTGTGGGCCCAGAGGGGGCCAAGTGTCCTGGTGAGACTGCGGGCCCAGAGGGGGCCAAGTGTCCTGGTGAGACTGCGGGCCCAGAGGGGGCCAAATGTCCTGGTGAGACTGCGGGCCCAGAGGAGGCCAAGTGTCCTCGTTTAGTCCACATGCTCTCCACTAAAGCCCTTGAAAACACTGTGCTAGTCAAAGAGGCCAGTCAGAAACAACCGCACTCTATGCGTCCACACGGGTGGAATGTCCAGACAGAGACAGGAAGGACATCTGTGGGTGCCCTGGCAGGGTGGGGGAATGGCCACACGGGGGCTGGGCTTTTTGCTCAGCTGAAGAAATGTCCTGGAATCGGCCGTGGTGGTGATCATGCTGCTCTGTGAGTAGACCAGGAGCTGCTGAGTCACACGCCGCAAGCAGGTGCATTGTATTGTGTGCATTCTGTCTCAGAACACTCTTATCCAAAGCGATACCCTTAACTGGCATTCTCTCAATTTTCCCCACTCTACCGCCCAGCTGGGAGAGAGCAGAGAGAGCTCTGAGGAAGCTGGGATCAGAAATAAAATACAGAAGCAGGATTCTCCTCCCACATCTGAAGGTCCCATATTTAACTCTGATTCTGCTGCGGTGGCTCACCCTGGCCTGCTCTGCAGTGTGTGGCTATTGGCTGGAGCGCATAGATGACTGCACTCCCAGAAGCCAACGAGGCACCCCGCCTTGCAGTGGTCATCCGGGCCTGTCACACCTGCGGTCAGTGGCTCCTTGGGCAGGAGCGTTGTTCTGTTCTTCATGTCACCGGACCTTCACAGTATGTCTGGTTTATAGCAGTGATTGTTGCGTTAACATGGGTGCATTGGATTAGGTGGTTTATAAACATTCCCTTTTCCTTCCTCTCCACTAAATCTGGACCATGAGACCAGTGCTGAAATCTAAGTTAGGAAGGGATCAAAACATCAGCTTTGTGGGGATGGAGTTAGGGACTACAGCACAGATGAAAAACCAAGCTCGCTTTCCCGTGGCTTCGTTGAGACGTGTCAGTTCGGGATAGTTTAGATTAAACGAGCAGTTCTGTTTATCCAGAATCACCTCCTCACACCCCACAAGAAGAGACTTACCTCCAGACGCAGCCTACAAGTGGGCCAGTGCCCTGACCAGGTGCTCATCCCGGGAAGATGGGGCTGGTGAGTTATGGCTGCTCTGTGGAGAGCCAGATCCCTAGAGAGGCAGTGCCATGCAGTGCATTCTTCATGCCCAGGTCACCGGTCAGACAAGACACTCCCACAAAGTGAGGGGAGAGAGCAATAGAGAGGGAGTCATTCTTCCTAATATTTTCGGAGGGTAAGGTTTTTATTTTATGGGCCAAGATGGTAGAACTGAGGGAAGAAAAATATTAGTGAGGGTCTTAGAAGCAAGAGGAAGCAGGGCCAGTCCCATGGCCTGATGTTTAAGTGAGCTGGATCCCACATGGCCAATCATAGGGTTTGAATCCCAGTCCTTACAGCTTGAAAAACACATTGAGTGTGTCCATGCATACTCAGATCCCAACATGATGAAGGAATTAAGGAGGAGGGATTGTGGCATGACCCCCTGCCCCCGGTCTCTCTCTGTGGTGAGTACACACACCCTCTAGCAATGATTTAAGAAAGAGAGAGAGAGAGAAAGCATTTCTTGCTGGTCTGAGCAGAAACAGCAGGATGTCTTGAATATTACTCTTGACTCCATTGGGTAGAAGATAGCGTGATGGTTATGTTAACACGAAGTCCTTATTGAGGTTGGCAGATGGCATGGTTAAGACGTTGGGCTCTCACATGACTGACCATGGTTTGAGTCCTGGGCCTGGCAGCTTGCTTTCTCACTTTTCCTTTCTGTCTCTCTGGTTAGATTAAAAGATAATAATAAAAAATGAAATTAAATAACTCTTAAAAAATAGTCCTTATCAGTAAGAAATATATACAGAGAGAGTTACTGTTTGCTAAAAGCAGGGCATCTTGGACTTATTTTAAAATACAGCAACTAGGAAAACAAGAACAAAACACGAGGGAGACGAGGGACTATAGACGAAATGCTAATGAGTATTGGACTGAGTGATGCCACATGCTACTCTCTTCAATGTTCTGTATGTTTGAAACTTTCCAAGATGAAGCTTTAAGTAGAAGGGCAGCTGGGTCATCTCTAGGTTGTCTACACAGCCATGCTGGGAGAGGAGGCAGCCAGGAACGACATCCCAAATCATGTACGGACCTGAAAGCATGTCAGCCGTCTAGTGCTGTGGTGGCCACAGCAGCCAGTGACAGTGGGACCCAGAACCCAGACCTAGGGGTCACTTCTGCCCTCCCAAGGTCAGAATAGTCTGGGTGCTAGAACAAAGCATCTGACGCGGTGGGGCTCTGGCTCCTACTGTGAGGGTTCCTTGGCTTAGGAAGGAGATTCGGCTTACGTTTCAACAGAAGGCTACATATCTCTGCTAGTAGAAGGTAGTTCTTCAACACGCTGACGTGTGCTAACGTTTTCATTAGGTTCTCATTGTCGTCGCTCCAGTTACTGGTGCTCGTGCAGTTCTTTGTAGCTGGCAAACGTTTGCACGTATGTTCTCAACCGGTTCTGACAGTGTTTATCCTTTGTGGGGTGCTCTCCTTGTGGGCTCACACAACTTTGTAGTCAGAATCATCCCCATATTACAGACAAGAGAGGTGGGGAAAAGAGAGGCAGCTTGACTCACCCCGACTTCTGGAGCTTTTCATTGGTGGCCTCAGAAGTGGAACCCAGAGACCAGCCTGTCACTCCGTGATGCCACCAAACACCAGCAATAGCATCAGACAGACTTCCAGCATTTCTTCTGCATCTCAGTGCAATGAAGAACCAATCATTTGCAGGTTTGTGTCCATTTCTAGCAACTTTTCTGGAGAGCTTTTCTCATTCCTTTGAGGGCTGTTCCCAGCAGACACAGGGCTCCAAGACTCTGAGCAGACAGCCTCTGGGTTCGAAGCAAGCTGCAAACTCGCATCCCCTTGCAGTTCAGCAACACAGACTGCCCTGTTCAAGCTAATTGAAGATCAGGAAGTGGCTCCCATAGAGGCTAGTGAGCTAATTGTCCAGGAATCTGAAGTATGAAGCAGGTTTGAGGGCAATTAAGCCTGGAAAGGAGGTTGGTGATGCAGTAACTGTTGAACCCTAAATATTTAAAAAGATCAGCTGAGATGATTTCCTGAGACTCAGCGCACAGCCTCCCCAGGCAGTGTTTATACAAGGGCACCTGGAAAAGGGATGGGTCTCTGCAAAGTGTCAGGGAGGAGTTGCCGTTCTGCTTGCAAATAACTGGCCTCAGCACATTCCAAGGGAGAAAGTGCAAGGGGGAAAAAGTGTGACGCTATGTCAAAAGGAGGCACCAGCCGAGCAAGCTCTCCCCTGCTGCTTAATGCAGGAAATATCTCCCAAACATCTCGGCTAATCCCCCACCAATACAATGAGAAATGAGAGGCTCTGGCAGCCAGACAGTTATTAAGCCAGGACAAAAAATATTCCCGCCCATAGCAACCAGCCAAAGAAAACAGCAGGGAGTAGCGAAGCTGCAGAGAAATGGCAGCTACACAGCATTCAATCCTGGGAGCCTCCAAAGCAACTGGCCGGTGAGAAAAAGAAAGGACCTCGTTTTGTCCAAGAATCTTAGCCATGTGAACTTCAGGACCTAGCGAATACTCACGGTCAAGCTGAACTCAGCTTCATAAACGAGTCCTAGGTTGCAGAAATGACAGACAGGACAAATTGGGGAAGCCCCTGGAGGATTTCTGGTCTAGTAGTTGGACAAGTGGATGAAACACACGTAAGAGGTGAATTCCCCAGGGAGCATGAATACCGTGCTCGGGTGCAAGGGAGATTGGTTCTTCAAAAACTCCCTTTCTTTTTTTCTTTTCTTTTCTTTTCTTTTCTTTTCTTTTCTTTTCTTTTCTTTTCTTTTCTTTTCTTTTCTTTTCTTTTCGGAGAGGTTTCTCGCTATAGGGCACGTGCACTCGCCAGACAGACAGAGACAGACAGAGAGACAGAAAGTGAGAAATCACCCCCCCACACCCCGGGAGGGGGGGATGGCCATGCCACAATCCCTTCTCCTCCATTCTCCTCTCGGGATCTTGGGCATGAATGCACACGCGCCTGGAGTGAGTTTTAAGCCACTGGGTCTGGGACGCGAACCACAGTCGACTACGTGGGAGTCCAGCGACATGGCCATTACGCTAACTGCTGGTCCCAAATACTCCCTTGCTCATCCCGTTGCTGAAGTGCTCACCTTTCCAGTTCTTTGTTCATGTGGGAGGAACTCCCCCAGGTAGAAAATCTCTTCCCAGTGCTATCTTGCTGCCAGCGATGGCTGTCTGTGGGGAGCAGTCCTTCCTCCAGTTAATGAAGAAGATGGGTGTCTGCTGGGGTTCTGGAAGGCAGCTAGTGAGAGGCAGACCCAGGGCCTAGACGCAGGGGAAAGATGAACTCGGAAGAAGTTAATTTTTCTATAACCATTTTACTACTTTACTTTCTGTATTCTTTGCAACACACTTTTTGGAGAGCCATAGAAGTTTACCATTGGAAGGGCTAGAGCTATTACAGAAGGGAAGCTGAAGCCGAGGGTTTAAAATTCTTAGTTCAAGGTGGGTCTAGACCCACTCTCCTGCCCTCTGGGTCAGTGCCCTGTTCATTACATCATCCTACCTAGACCCCACCTTGATCTGGGAAATACTTGTGAATCAGACAGTTTTGATGTTATCGTTCTTTCAGAAAGAAGATAAAAAATATGTCCTAGTTGGCCAGCTGTTTCAGTTTGATAGCTTTATTGGCCCATGGTAAAATTACCCAAGTTCCTTTGATTTCGTCCTTGTAAAGCTTTCTTATTTACTTTTTTTTTTGGGGTGGGGGGGAAGATTTTGCTATAGGGCACATGGGCTTGCAGAAAGAGAGACCGAAAGTGAGAAATTACCCCCTCGGTAGATGGCCACGCCGCAGTCTCTTCTCCTCTATTCTCCTCTCAGGATCTTGGTCACTTACACACACATGCCCAGTGTGAGTTTAAGCACTGGGTCCGGGACTTGACTACATGGGAGTCCAGCGACATAGCCATTATGCCAACTGCTGGTCCTGCTTTCTTATTTTTTAATAATAATAAATAAAAAGTCACTACAATTCTATATGGAAGTGAAAGTTCTCCTGGCCATGTATTAATAATTTCAAGTCCATCCACCCCTGTTCTTATGTGAGCACACACCCCTCCCATAACTCTGCTTCTCCTTCTCCTTAGAGAGGAATTGCCCCAAAGACAACAAAACCTACAACATTCTAGCAATTATTCCTTGGTCGATATGCAGGGTCTTCAAAAAAATTCATGGAGAACATGTATTATTAAAAAAAAAACAAAACTATACATGGATTTCAAAATATTTTTGCACCAAGGTAAACTCGTACTTTAATTCCATTGTTTCACAGATGTTTTGAAGCCCCTTCATATACCACTAATGTCTCCCCTCTAACAACTTGACACTACTCCTGACTCGCCAGACAGAGACTGAAGGAAGCGACCACATCAGGTGTTCGCTGCACATGACCAGCAATGGGGCCTGAATACCGGATAGCTCTCCACCATGAGCAAATCGCAAAACCACCCTGGCCTCGTTTTCCTCATCTGTAAAATGGGGGCCAAAGAGCCTATTTCAGGGTGATGAAGGGTAAATAAATATTTAATAATACCCATTTAAAAGGATTCTGAATAGTAATACACAGTAAATGCTAGCTACCATTATCCCTGTGACTACTGAACCCACCCCCAAAGTAGGGGAAAATGGGGCTGTTAAGTTTCTGCCAATGACCCGGTCTGTTCCTAACTGTAAGAACGCTGGCTTACCTGCAGAAGGCCTAACTGGCCGCTTTCCCCCACACTCCAGTTTCAATCTCGTGTGCATGGAAAGGAGGTAGGCTGAGAATATTCCTCTCCCTTACCTGTGCGCTGTGGGCCCCTGGGTTTCTCCACTCATCAGCATCGCTGTGCAGAAAAATCTCTTGACCCCTAAGTCTGAGTTTAGCCAAGACTTCCATTAACATTTTCAAAAGAAACACACATACTCAGAAACAGAAATAACTCAAAAGCAGTTTGAGTTTCTTAAATTACTGTCACCACTGATTGGTTACCCCAGCTTTAGAAAGAATGTCATTCTTACCTTCTTGTCCTGGAAATGACCTGGGGAAATGACAGTCAAGGGCTTATAGGCCATGACAGGCATGGGCTGACCCAGCTTCCCACTCAGTTCCTCCTGGGACCTTCTCTGCAGCCCTTCCTCCAGCCGGGAAGGTCACCCATCTCCTCTGGACCCAGCCTTCCAGGCCTCCCTGTTCTCTTCACTGAGTGAGCAGACTCTTAGCGGCTGTCCCTAGGGTTGGGCTAGGCTCTCCCTTCACTTCTCTCCTGGAGTTTCTTGTGGTTCCAGATTCTACCTTTGCTCTGTTCCTTTCCTCTCGGCCTATTTTAGCTCTGCAGGTCTCGTCTGTCTGAACGCGGGTTCCACGCTTCTCTAGCGCTCCCAGCCTTCATCCATCATCCTGGTGTGGCAGGAGGGCCTGGCCTCTAGGACGGCAACATCTCTTTCCAGGGTTGGCCTGCCTTATCTCACCTCCTTTCCAACTCGAGCTTCCTGTAGGACCACCCACTGGGCTCCTGTTTCCTGTGACCTCATTTACTGGGAGCTAATTTGCCGAACAGAAATGATCGACAGCTCCTTTGCTCAATAACTGATGAAGGCTCTCCTGCTTCAGTTACTCAGCACTACCCCCTTCCTCAAATTCCCTTTGTTGACTCATTTCTCCAGAGGCTTTATGGATCTTCCGGAATTCTGACATCAGTTTTATAGATTCAAGCATATTATACATAGACTGTATTTTCCACATGTAGTAGATGGAAAAAAACACCATTTCCAACTCAAGAATCACATACATGTGGCTCATGAAACATGGTTACGCACGAGAGGTGATTTGTTTACTCCTACCGTGGCCCTGAGGCTGAGGCTATGGGTAGGAGATGTCCCCGCCCAGGTAGTACCACTCAGTTCTTTGTTTCTGTTAGTTGTGACCAGTTTGCTGAAAGAACAATAGGCGAGGCTCCCAATACTGTTCAGGTCATGTGTATACCAGAAGTCAAATATGTCTTGGCCAAAGATACGCAGATGTTCACCTTCAGGGACAGATTCTCTCCAGGCCCCACTCTATGGCCGAGACCGAGGGAATGAGTGCTTTGGCAATGCCACCCGGGCAGCCTGGGGATGGAAGGGGGAACAACCTCAGTTTATGTTGCTACCACTGCCATTCAGACCTCCTCTGCCTAAGCCCCATTCTCCAAGTTTGGAGGAAGTGTGGGCAGATTCCTTTGCTTCTCCAGGTATTTTCAGGCATGACCTCATTTTCCACCTAAGCTAGATCAAAATGCAACCTCCAGTCTATTGCAGAGCTTCAGCCCCACCTGGCGCACAGCCTGCAGCGGGCAGGAGTGGGGACTGCCCACTCTTCTTGCTCTACCCCATTGGCCAACTTCCTGCTGCACTGGCCTGTGCCTGTGCTGAGGGTAAGGGAAGGAGGCAGGCAGTGCCCAGGGCTTACTTGGTGCTGTGCTGTGTGTGGACACTTGCGGGCAGGGCCCTCTGTGTAGTGGGTGTCCCGGTGCTGGCTCCTCTCCTGGACCAGCAGTGCACCCGGGCAGTCTTTCCCTGGGGATGGCCTCATCCAACACGAGCCTCTTACCCTCAGCCAAACAGCCTCTGCCCTGGTGGAAATGTAGTTGCTCCCTCTGCTCCATCCCACCCCTTGCACCCTATCACAGTGGAGGCATGGCCCCCTCTCCCCTTCTGACTTCCCAGCAGGGGTGAGATGGCCATCCTTGGATCCAGAGACACAGGACAAGTTCTTCCAAGATTGCTCAGGCCTGGAGCTCTGGGGCCACAGGGTTGTGATCTCAGGGCTGCAGGATCGCGATCTTGGGGGTGCTCAGTGTATCCACAGCCACCCCTACACTTGCCAGGACGAAGGGGAGAAATTGGGGCTCTGAGGGGTCTTCTGAAAGTTTGTGGTAAATGTGTGTTAGGAAGGAATTATGCATGGATTTCCTCTGCAACAAAATGAATCTGTGCTTTAATTTCACTTTTCTACACACTTATTTTTTACAGTTTATTCCATGAGGGAAAGGAGGGAAGGAGGCAGATGAGGAGGGAGAGACAGAGATATAACACCTGACACTGCTCTGGCCGTTTTGGCCAGGCAGGATGTGGGCACACCTCTGCCTGGTATCCAGGACGTGTTGGATGTGAACCTGGAAACTACCTCGTGGGTCAGCTTTGCAGAGCATCGCATCTCACAGCCGTGCCACCCCCGGCCACAGTCTGCAAGTCCCCTTGTACATGAAAGCAGGTTCTACAGGGATTTTAAAATTAAAACTAAGGGGTCAGCACATGGTGTAATGATTAGGTTGTTGGACTCTTACATGGTTTGAGTCCCGGACTCGGCAGCTTAAAACTCAGGCCAGGTGCATGTGTGGGCCTGCCCAAGATCCCAAGAGGAGAATAGAGGAGAAGGGATTGTGGCCATACCCCTGCGGGGTGATTTCTCGCTTTCTGTCTCGGTCTCTCTAGTAAGTGCATATGCCCTATAGCAAAAATCTCTCTAAAAGAAGAAAAGAAAAATATGAAAACTAAGCCTTAGTTTTTCCCTCCCAACCACCAGCAGTACTCATTGTTGGGCTGCAGTTAACACCCAGTGCGGTGTCTACTGGAAGAAAGTTGCTATGTCGGACATCCTGCCTGCTGGTCTAGAAGCCGGCGGATCTTCAGCTCTTCGGCTCTTGGAGATGTTTCCGAGCTTGAGTTCTAAAACTCCCTCCCTATGCAGAACTTGTCCTGGAGCCGTGAGGGGCCTTTCCTGTGATCTGTGTCCTGGATCCTGAAGCTTGTCGTATAACACGTCGTCAGAGGCCCTCGAGCTTCACAAAAGATTATATTTCAAATGAGAGAATTTTAATGCCTTACAGGAAAATGGAGGTTTTTTTCTTCAACATACTCGGCAAATCCCATGCAGTATATTGAATGATCTGCCTGAAAACATCGGGCATGTGTTTCCTCAGAGGGCAGGCTGCCACATTCCTGACCTGTGAGTAAAGCTCCCGAGGTGGCTCGGAGAGGGACCTATCTTCCACCTCCTGATGCCAAGTTTTCCCCCTCCCACATCCCCCCACGGCTGTGGGAGCATGAGGGACGGGCACCCAGTGTGCAGCCTGTCAGCGAGCCACACCCTTATCCTCTCCTGGAACCCCTGCAGTGGGACATTTTGAAGTGTTGCAGAGTCATTTGCCCAGTAAGGACAAAGATGAGGGGGGAGTGAACGAGAGAAACAAATGGGGCCAGCAGCGACATGGTGGTTGAGGTGCTGGTTCGAGTCACAGGCCTGGTGGCTTGAAATTCATGTCGGGCACCTGTGTGTGCATACCCGCAATCCCAGAAGGAGAATGGATTGTGGCATGGCCGTCACTCTTGGAAGGTGATTTCTCACTTTCCCTCTCACTGTCTCTCTTCTCTCTGGTGAGTGCATGTGTCCTGTGACCAAAACAAAAAAAAGTCAAAACCTCAAGTCACACATAAAATACCCACTCTTCCCACCCCCAGATATGGACAAATTTCTTCACCAAATTTTGATCTCTGAGTGGTGTCAGAGAGGACTGTTGTACCAGGGGCTGTGAGAAGTGTTTACACTGTCATAGCAAGGGAGTCGTACAGAACATAACCTCCTGAGGCCGACCACTTTCACTCAGCATACTGTCTTTCAGATTAATTCGGGTTAATTCAATACGGTGCAATCCTTCTTATTTCTTGGTAATGTTCCACAGTATAGATGTTTCAAAGTGTGTTTTTCACTCACTCGTTGAAGGGTATTAGTGTTAACTGTAGTTCTGGGCAATTCTTAATAGAGTCTCTAGGACATGATTGTGCAAGTCTGTGTTACGCACATTTCATTTCTCCAGGGAAGTTTCTCAAATCCAGCATTGCTGATGCTGGGGAAGGATAACCCCTTGTGAAGGTGGGAGGTTGTGCTGCGCACTGCAGGGTGGCTCGCAGCACCTCTGGCCTCTACCCTCTACATCTCCCTGGTAGCACTTTCCCCAGTTCGTGACAGAAACCATTTCCAGACAGCCATCGGAGGCGAAGTCACCAGCAGTCAAGATCCACTCTGCTCTATGTAAATCCCCAGGGCTGGAATTGCTCAGCCGTATGAAAGGTATATGTTTTTACTCTGGTAAAATGTTGCTGAGCTATTTTCCAGTATGTACCATTTTCATGCCTATTCTCAGTGTCTAAGACTTGCTCCACATCCTGCCTAGTGCATGGGACAGTCAGGTTTGCTTGTCAGAACTGGCATTCTTCTTCCCAAGAAGCCGCGACGGGTGTCTTCGGCTCTAGTTCTGTGGACTGCAGCTTGGGCTCATGGGCGCTATGGCTTTGTCTCCTCCGTTTCTGCTCTGGGACCTCCTCTGCTCATATCTCAGCCTTCATGTTAGCTGTATTTCATATATGATATCTACTATGTTGTGATAAGTTCTTTCTATGTCTATTCTGTCGAAAGTCTCAATCATGATCAGATGATATTGAACCTTGTCCAGTGTTGTCCCTGCATCTGTTCAGGTGACCAGGTGGTCTTTCTCCTTCATTTTGTTAACCTGTTCCATCAGCCTGACTGATTTGCATTTATCTGTTTCATCATCCTTGCATTCCAGGGAAAAATTCCATATGGTCAGAATGTATGGATTTTTAAAAATATGCTGTTGAATTTTGTGTTCTGGTGTTTTACTGATTTTTGCATCTCTGTTATCAGGAATGTCGGCCCGTTGTTATCTTGTGCTGTCTTTGCCTAGTTTTCGTGTTGGGATGATGCTGTCCTCGTTTGGAAATACTCCTTCTTCTGTTTTTTAGAAGCATTGAGAAGAGTTAGTATTAATTCTTCCTTGAATATGCGGTAGATTGCAACCATGAAGCCATCCTGTCCTTTGCTCCCTTTTGCTGTAAGTTTTCAGTTACTCATTCAGCCTTATTTGCTATTGATCATTCAGTTTCCATTTCTTCTTGTTCAGGTTTGGCACACTGTCTGTTTGTAAGAATTTGCCCACTTCTAGGTTTTGCCAGCTTGCCAATGTTTAATTGTTTTGGTAGTAATCCTGTGTGACCCTTTTTATTTCTGAGGCATTCACCATAATGTCTCCTCTTTCATTTCTGATTTTGTTTCTTAATTAGCTGAATGAAGTGTCTGTCAATTTGTTTAACTTTAAAAAAAAATGGGTATTACATGTATGTACATTTCTAAGTTTTTTTTTTCCATTTGCTATTTGTTATATTTTGGCTCTAATCTCTATTATTTCCTTCCTTTTGCTAACTTTGAGCTCATTTTTTTTCCTTTTTGAGTTTTGTAAGGCATAAAATTGGCTTTTTATTTGAGATCTCTTTTTTTTTAGTGTTTATCACTATAAACTTCCTTCTCAGGGCTGCTTTTGCTACATGTCATAAGTTTTAGTATGTTGTGTTTTCATTTTAATTTGTCTTGATGTATTTTTTAAAATTCCCTTTTGACCTTCTCTTTGGCCTAATGGTTGTTCAAGA